CCTTTTCATTTATTTCTGATATTCGCAGTAAGTGCACACAGCATGCTGACTAATTTTTAGAAATGGCTTGGCCACAAGTGCTTTAACCACCGGTGGCACAGTGGGAAACAATGTTAGATTTGGAAAAAATAAATTATGAGTCAGTGTTGGTCAAAATTCAGAATACATTTTCTCAGGCTCGGTTCGGTCATAAAAGCCTCTTTGAAAAATCAATGTGTGCTGCTGCATCTTAGGAAATGAATCCCACCTGAAATCAACTGCAGAGGCTGCTCTTTGTTTCACTTTGTTTGATAATAAAATGCTAAATTATTCGCAGCCTGTTTTTGTCCAGGATGGACAACAATGAAGTCCGACTCTTGTTTTACCTGCCGCGGAGTAAACTTCCACCTGCAGTGAGTGGAGTACAGAGTACGACCTCATCGCCGGAAACCTTGAACAAAGTCCAAGTAAACACAATATTTACAACATTATATACATACAAACAGGGACAGCAGAATCCAAAATAAAATAAATTTGGGTTTTTTTTTTTTTGGTGCCACAGAAGCCGCTACTAATTATGCAAGAGACTCACCAGTCGGCTGCTTCCCTGATCTTTCTGAATACACTTTGTACCTTCTCCCTGTGTGTACCCGAGTGTACTTCAGAGTACTTCAGGGACCTGTTGAATGCAGGGATTGGCTCCGGCTACTGCAAGTGGTAGAAACTGAATAAAACAGGTTTCCTGAAGAAAGTTTGTTCCCTGACCGGGATTCAAACCTGCAGCAATCTGCAAAAACATCTTCATTTTCAGTGTATTTTTTTGAAGCGTAGAATCTAAAGCATCATTTAATGGCCGGTCCAATAATTCATATTCAATCCCGTCCTTGTGTTTATGAATTGATCCCTTCCTTATTAAAGAGCGTTGACCTTTTTCCTCTACAGCGGTGAAACGGTGATTGCGAACAGTCATTTTGTCATAAATGAGACTCCATAAATTTCAAAAATCAGTTTTAATCATCGTACGTGACGGCGGGTCATAAATATACAGCTCAGTGAGATAGCTAAATCACAACACAACGTTCCATTGATCTTTAAATAAAACGTTGTCGATGTCGACATCGGAAACACGAGTCTGTCATGTGATGCCGGTCGACGGCATTTCTACTGAATTCTTTTCCTTTCACGTCCTTTTAAGCCAAAGCCTGAGAGGAATTCTGTTTAGTGTGTAGATGTTTGAGGACCATTTCCAGCCAAAGCCTGAGAGGAATTCTGTTTAGTTCTTGTTGGTTTTGCCTCCTCTGGGTTTCTCAGACTGTCCTTTTCATGCACATCTGTTTTTGTATGGCAGTCATTTTGCTCTTTTTGGGATACAGTTTCTGCTCAGCTAATGGATGTTTGTTCGGCCTCTGTGACAGTGCAGTCGGTGGATGACTCATCCTCTGAGTGGCACCAATGGGAGGCTGCCTCTCCGAGAGCCCAAATAATTGACAGCAGCTCAAAAACCTGTTGTCATGTTAACAGAATCCTGAATTCAGGTCAAGCCCTCGAGTCAAACCTCGAACCTGTCATGTGCTGAGGATGACGTCGTTATTATACGGCTGATTGGATTGTTTAGCCTGATTATCCTCTGAGTGGTTTCATTGGACATCTGAGAAATCTAAGACAGAAGTAAACACTACAAGTTTGAAGAGGACACTTCACCCCCCCCCAGCCCCCTACCCTGACAGAAGAAAAAGTCAAGTGGCGGTCAGGTTGTAGTTGAGCTCCAAGCTTGTGTCGGACAAAACAAGGTTTCATTCGTTTAGCCTGAGTCACATGACCAATGATGTCAGAGGATAACAGTAACACACAAACCTACAAGGTTCCGAGGTTGTAATGCACATGGTATGAAGATGAAGATAACATCCGTAACACACAAACCTACAAGGTTACGAGGTTGTAATGCACATGGTATGAAGACTGGAACATGGTTATACATTTAAAAATAATAATAATTAATTTTTTCAATACCCCAACAGTCTTACAGACAACTGATGCATTGTGGGTTACATGTTGCTAGGCTATTGGCTATTTTACGTTCATGGTCAGTTCTATTGTATACATTTTTAGCCCATTGATATTATCAGTTTTTATTTTAATTTTTTTTTTTTTATCTTTGTGGTCATTTTTTTGGGCCATTCTGAGTTTGTATCTGGACCACATGTGGCCCTCGGGCCACTATTTGAATAGGCGGGCCACACAGAAACGGCTTAAACCCTGCTGTAAGTTAGAAATATTGGAAGTGGTTAGCCGAGCAGTAGTGAAAGACTAGACCAAAAATAGTTCCAGTGTTTGACAAAGTGTTCCTGGAACTGTATTAAAATAGTAAACGTGGGCACGGTTTGGCCCTAACGTGTAAACGTTCACATTTACTGACACGGTTTCTCAGAGCGCCTCGGTGCTATCTTTGTTTCTCCCGGACACCTGTACCTGTCAGGTGCCTCTGTTTTTTTAATGAACAGTACCAGGCAGCACAGAAGGCTCTGCTGGTACCTGCTCAACGTCTGCTGCTGCAACACTGACCAGAGGAGACGCACACCCACCTCTGTGTCCCAGGGATAATTGCTGCTTCCTGGCTGACAGTCTTTCTGTGCTGTGTAGTCTTTGACTCCTCAGACTCCACAGAGCGGGGGGGTCGGGGGAGGGGGGGGGATTGGTAGGTGGGGGGATTCCCACGAGTAACCAAAGACAAACAAACCGGGGCGGACAATCGATAACGGAAACAAGGGGTTAGCGCTGAGTGCAGCTGCCGATTAAGATCCTTTAGCTACATGTACCTGTGTCTGTGGTGTTTGACCTCCTCTCCTGCAACACTGACTGGAAGCGTCAGTCCACCGCTAATGTGCTTCATGTGACGGTTGATTAAAAGTCTGGTTCCAGGTCAGAGCGAGTGCTGACGCCAGTTAGCTCCAGTGATCACTGTGGCTTTTACCGAAACCTTTTTTGTTTAACTGGACTCTGTTTTACCTTTCATTAGGTCAAGTCAATTTTATTGACACAAGTTCAAACACACAGATTCTGTTACAGAGTAATTTTTTCAATGATACTCTGTAAACTACAAAAATTTAAAAAAAAGCTCATTTTACTGAATGGCTGCTTGTCCATTTGACCCAAAACGTCAGGTCTACTGAATGGATGCTTGTCCATTTGACCCAAAACGTCAGCAGAGCAATAGTTCCTGATGAAGTTCTGTGTGTCTTTGTGCCACTGATGATGTGACCACCGCTGCTCCAGTCCAGTCCAGTCCGTTCCCTCTGTTCTATCCCTGGGCTCATGTTTGCCTTTGTTCTCATCTCCAGACTGTCGGACTCACAATGATGATCTTGACCAAGTGCAGGGAAAGGTCATGGTTGACCTGCAAATTGCCTCAAAGCAATCAGCCTTGTCTCTCTCTTGTGCTAACAGCGTGAGCTTCCTCGTCCTCTGCTGCACTCGCCACTTTTCCCTCTCTCTCTCTCTCTCTCTCTCTCTCTCTCTCTTTGTCTCTCCCTCCATTTCTGTGTTGTTTCAGACTCCGACTGAAGCTGGAGACTTGAAAAGTGCCCAGAGTCACGGTCTGGGTGACATTTCAGCAACACACCAGCCTGACCATATAAATATGTGCGTGTGTCTCCCCGTGGCCTCAGCTGTCCTGGAGGACGGCCGGCTGCTGGGGGCTATTTGCCTGTGTGCAGGAGGGATTACCTTTTATTACATGAGAAGAAGAATCTCCCCTTCTTCAACCTCCGACCGCTCGCCCCACAGTGGGACTCCTGGGATGCCGTAGCACAGCTGATACTCTTGTTATAAATCCACAGTCGCTGATGCTGAGGCCGAGGTGCTTCTGGTGAAGACGCGTGGCTCAAGGGCGGCCACAGTTTGGTCAGCTGTTCCCTGCAGCCCTGTGCGGCCGAGGCGCTCTCTTCTGAGGGCTTTACACACAT